TATATGTGTGTGTATGTATATATATATATATATAATATATATAAGTATATAATAGTATATATATATATATATATATACATATATATAAATAAATATACATATATAAATATTATCCAGCGTATCTGTAAGCATACCTTGTTCAGTACGGGCATGAACTTGCGGTATTTTACATTGTGGATTGGGTGCCCAGCGCCATCTGATGATTAGTGATTGATGCACGCAAGTTGTGTCAGGAATATATCATGTGAATAACTTAGCCAGACAGCGTTTATAGACAACTGGGGTAGCGTGCAAACCTCAACTGAACGGGTGGTATTACTTAGGAACATTCGATTATTCTGTACCTTCTGCAATAGATTACACACCACCACAGTGCCATAGGGGAGTATGGGGAGAAGAAACAACTATAGCCATGGCTATAGGTGGAGCACTCTCGAGGATATGATAGTAAGGTACGTAAAGTAGCCTATCAATGCTCGTTATTTGAACTAGATTTAGTATGGAAAACACATCAAGACCGCAATTGTCACGCGTGTAGATGAGTGCGTATTGAATACTACAAAGCCCCATGGCCAATAGTTTTGAACGGCAACAGTGCAAAGAACAAACGAGGACGAACATGAGATACAGCACGGGAATACAAGTTAAACGAGGTTTGGCGAGCGAGTGCAATGCAAGCAACCGACCAACCGATTGCGACAAAACAGAACAATAAAGCTTAAGTCATGTGATTGATACAGTCACAGAAACATAATAATAAAATTTAAGACACGTGATTGATATAGCCCCAGAAACATGATAATAAAATTGAAGACATGTGAACGATAAAGTCACAGAAACGCGCCCGGAGATGTAGTGCATTAGGGACAAGCAAACCGCAAGCAGCAATCACACGTGGTGGTGAACCAACAAGACTTCAAAAGGTGGCAGACACAAACACAGAATGGCATATATATATAAATATATATACATATATATGTATATATATATATATATAGATATATATATGTATATATATACAAATATTTATAAATATATATATGGGATTGATGACCCTGATACGCAAGACGACCATCAGAAACAACAGTACAAGAAGACAGACACGGCTATATTGTGAAGGGGGTTCGCTTACACACAGGTGAGGGCGAGGATCAAGACGATACCTTTGTTGAGAAAAGCGGAGATGGTGTTCATGTCATCTGACATGTCTATGTTGACATATTTTGTGTCCGCCTCCCATAGGGTATGCGCGGCCCTGCGAGGGGCAAATGGGACAGGACAGACTGAATTGCTTAACGTCACTGTAAAGGTTAAAAATAACTACAAAAGACTTATCCCACGTGCTGCTCCCTTGCTAGGTGTGTCACGTGGATCATGTGTGTTCTAAGCAATATATATATATATATATATGTATGTATGTATATATATATATATATATAATGTATGTATGTATATATATAATAAAATATAATATATTCTATATATATATATATGTATATATTTATATATATTATAATATATGTATATTTATATATATATATATATATCGGATGCTGCGTCGTGTGAGCCAGGTTCATGTCATATATACAGGCGTCATGGGTTACTGCCACCCCATCGACAATCAGACACTATGACAGTGAGGAGGACCGTATAATCGCAACAAGCGCTTGTGCACCCAAACAATGCACACAGAAAGCACCGAGGTGCAATATTATTGAACTAAACCAGCCACGGTAAGTCGGTACTCGGAAGGGCTATGACTGCGCAGAACATACCACATGGACGTGCCTACGCCACTGCCGAAGTCCAGAGCGGTTTTGGGAGTCCAATCGAAGTCTCTGCAGTAAATCTGGGCTCAATAACGGGCGCAAAACAGTGGCAGATCAGTTTAAAGCGGCGTTTTCATTTGGGCAAAAGTGAAAATCGGGTTCAGAGCCGGACATACAGCTTTTGAATCGGGTCGCGAATTTCGACAATGACAAAGGTGGTTTAAGCGGGGAGGCATACACAAACTCCTTTACCAAACAAATCCCTTCACAACACCAACTGTGCCACAGTAATTCCCCTGAAACGAGCTAGAGCTACATCAGGTGACACATACACAGTCCTGTGGTTTCATTTTATCCTCCAGAGAGTATCACCACATGATCATACCATCGCTTATAGGACAGTCAATGCATTGGGCCTGTGTATTCGAACTATACTGTGAGCCAACACCTCAGTAAAAGACACAGAAGCCAGACCCACCTACGCACACCAACTGTTCTCAGAACAGTGCACAGTGACAAGGTATGATGTGTTTGGAAACGCAGTCTGTGCAATCCTGGCCAGTGACTGAGATGATGGTAAGCTGCACATATGTATGATATAACCGCAGCATCCGCAATGGTTGGAATCGGTTCTGCATATACGCGTATATGTACACGCGTGCACACACATACAGGCATCCCCCATACTAACGCTCGCAAATACACTGCCGCCTTCGTTTTACTGTGCAATAGCAACGTGTAAAATCGACACAACCCAAGCATGTAAACATTCACATACGCACAACCAGCAAAGTATGCAAAAGCCCTGGAACAAGGGCCATACACTCCCCTTACCTCCAATAGCACTCTGTAGGCCGCAGAGTACACAGCCGGCAATCGACTGACCGCATAGGCCACGCCCTCATTGACACCATATGCGATGGAGTTCGATGTGAGCAAAGTAGTCCCATCCGATCGCTTTGTACCGAAATGCAATCGCTTGTCAACCATTTCTAGAGACGTCTCGTCACCATCGGCCGCCATTGCCATCATGCGTTGGGCCTTGGACTGTGAGATAAAAAGAAGCAGATTGATTGGTACATGCGACTGTGAGATAAAAAGTAGCGGATTGATTAGTACATACGACTGTGAGATAAAAAGAAGCAGATTGATTGGTACATGCGACTGTGAGATAAAAAGTAGCGGATTGATTAGTCCATACGACTGTGAGATAAAAAGAAGCGTATTGATTGGCACATGCGATTGTGAAATAAAAAGGAGCCTATTGATTGGCACATGCGACTGCGTGATAAAACGAAGCGGATTGATTAATACATACGACTGTGAGATAAAAAGAAGCGTATTGATTGGTACAAACAAGCTAACGTAAATTTGTGACCACAGATTGACCGCGCCGCGGATTGTTTTATTTTGTTTACCTACAGACGGGGTCTCGCGCAACGATTTCTGGGGACTTTAAACCTAAGAAAGCCCTATCATATTCGTACCGTTGTTATAACGACCTCGGCCACAACACAACCAACGCAGCTACACCGTCCACCCCCTACATACACACCTTTGATATTTTCTGGTCTTTCATAATCCGGGCTACTTTTTCATTCTTAGTTTCCCTGTGCATGGGGTTTCCGGTCGAGAACGGCTCGTAGTCGACACTGGAGGATGTGCGCGTGTGCAGAAAGTAGTCCAACCGCTCCACATCTTTGCGCATTTGCCGCACAGACCGCCCTACACAGACGACAAAGTTGTGAGTGGCATGCAGGGGTGCCAATCCGGGTGAGATAGACATTTTATTTCTATTTGAGTGTTCTATTGGCACTTGTACAGGAATGAAACAGCCGGGAATGTGATAGCATTCGAGGTCGTTATGGACAGTACATGCATCGTCTTCTATTAATCGCTGGTCAGATTGTATGTGATAGCCTTGAGGCACCGAGCGTGTAGCGGAACCGCCGCGAATAGACACACGCCCAATGGTTCATCTTAACGCTGGATAGTTGGTACGTACATCGCACCATGCATGTGAGTGAACTTAGACCCACACACAGGCATAGTCAATGACGTATACCAAAATACAGTGATCGTTGCTCGTACCGAGGTTCAATAAGTGTATGGTGGTCGGTAGGGTATCAGACTTGTACCTGAACCCACACACACATATGTATACGCACACTGACATATGCATAGATACAATACTCGTTGTACATCCGGCTGGTTAGTTGGTACACGGGATCTCTCATGGCATCAAGCATGTCAGTGAACCTACACCCATACACAGGCACACACAATGATGTATGCCAAGATAGAATGGTCGTTATACATACCACTGAACAGTTTGGTATATGTTAGTTTCCCACTCACCGCGCTCGTGAATGACTCATATCACACACACTTATGCACATTGGCATGCAGGTAGATACAATGCTGGCTGTACTTACAATTGGCTAGTTGATGTATGGTATATCATCTCAACCAGGCACAGGGCTTGTGAGTTCACCTACACACACACACTCACTCACGCCCACTGACATATGATTAGATACAATGCTTGTTATACCTACCGCTGATTAGTTGGTAGATGGTAGCCTTTAACGCATTAAGCATGTACCTGCACTTACACACACTCACGCACACTGACATATGATTAGATGCAATGATCGTTGTACCTACCGCTGGTTAGTTGGTAGATGGTAGCCTTTAAGGCATCGGGCAGCTGCAGCGTACGGCAGTGGAATTGGCCCTCCTCAATGGGGTTCTCGAAGTCCCCCTGATCTTCACCCTCTGAGACATCACTATCATCCGTATCTGGCTCCGATTCTATTTTTAGACCTGTTACCAGTTTGAGACCCTCGAAAGGTCGCTCTGTGGTAATGGGGTGTCAATGGGTAGTATGTGTACGTATCAATACCGGCGGTAGCATGTACGATATCATAATAATAGCTTCCCACGACTCGGTGTGATTCAGATACTAAAGATATATCATATAGCAAGCACCGACTATGCGAGTATGCGACAGGGAACCGTTTATGTGTTATTATTGGCCCATAGTCTGCTACAGGCTTACGATGTGGTACTTTGCTCAATATATGTGTGGTATGCGAGCGTTTGAAAGTGTATTTTCACGTTTAGATTTAAAATCCGAATCCGCGTGCGTGGTATGTGTATATAACATCCGTGATTGGGAATAGATACTTTGACTAGTGATAAGCGCAACTGATATCATGACTCAGATTCCATTCGATCTTGTTTCTTGACCCTAAAACATCCGCATTCAAGTGTGTGGAATTAGGTCAATTAGGTCTCATCTGTGTCTATGCTAATACACATATATATATATATATATATATATATATATGTGTGTGTGTGTGTGTGCAGGTATTCATTTTCAGTAATTTAAAATGCAGTACTTTATGAAAACAACGACAGTATAAATCTGTACAACATTCATATTTACATAAACGTGACTATACGTTAATACAAACGTAGCTATCAGTAGAAGCATATATATATGAACCAAATATATGTTCCAAGCGATAATAAAAGACTCTTTCTCTGCGATAACAATGTACTGTATTCGACACACTTACCGGGTGACTTGATCGGACCAAAACCCAAGTCGTTCTCTTTAGCTTTATAGCACACGCGTGTCGATGTAGAGATCCGTCTTCTACACGCACTCCACATGGGCTGTGAATTTCGGAGTGATCTACTTATACTATTCCTGAAATGTAGCATCGTGAACATCTCAAGGTACATGTATATGGCTAGTACTTGATTTCTGATCGAATTTGATGCAAATTTGACTAGTTTTGTATTTCGTGTGTATTCGTGCACGCAAATCGAGTTTGATGTTCTTTATTATGGTATTTCGTATTTATTCGAGAGCATTTATATACCTACTGTACGCAAGCAAATAGTCAAGTTGTTTGTGTTGTGATACGACTTGAGTATATATATATATATGTATATAAATATATATATATATATATATCACATGCGTCTATATACGTATATAATACATATTTATATACGTGTGTTTATATATTTGAATATGAATGAGCTACACAATCTGGACTGTAAATATGATTATGTGAATTTGGAACGTGGTTTGGCTAAAAACGTGTTTTTTTTAAAGCCCGCCAAAAAGTCACCTTTCTCGTTAAAACGCTTTAAAAACCAGTCCATTTTAAATTTTCAAGGTTCAACGTTTATAATATATTCCAATTTGAAGCAGGTGTATAAAATAGTTATCTCGAGTTTTTATGTTAAAACGTATGCAATCCCATCCTTGCTGTTTTTGCGTTCAACGTTTACTGCATTGATATCTTTAGTCTGGCTGCTCCTGGATGGCAGTCGCTTAGCGACAGATTGACTGTCCTCATCAGTCACAGTGTCCGCATCACGTACTTTGATATATATGTGTTGTAGAATATATAAGGTTGCCGTAGTGCAACCACAGGTACAGATACGTTCGACAAGTATACTATATAGAGCTTGAATGAGATGTCATTGTAGTCGTTGTATCCACACACGGAGGTTTATGTATAGTACATTTTATTGGCATGAATAAACAGTACTTTCATAAGGCATATATATATACTTTATACAAATTGTCAACAAGTATAACGAAACATAGATATACATATATACATACTTGTTTATTTTTTTAGCAACCTAAGCCAGAATGACAAGCGTTGTAATCAACGGAGTAGAACCTAGCAACGGCCACAAGGCCAACACCGCCAATGTCAACAGTGTAGCAATACTAGTGCATGAATCACATCCCACGATAAAGGCTCTGGCTATGATTATAGTATTTGGATGGATACTTACTATAATTACACCTATACGCAATGTTTTATCACTCACACCTGCATACTTCATGGGAAGATTCTACGTGTGGACCATTGTCACGGCGACATTGATGGAAAGCAGCTTGATCAACATGATTGTAGGACTTTGGATGTTGTTCTATTCCGCCGCTAAAGTGCTTCCCTTATGGGGAATACATGAGTATATTAAGGTATTAGGGTTATATATAAGTATATATGTGCACACACAAACACAAGAATACACGAGTATATCAAGGTATTAGTATAAGTAAATATGTGTACACACACACACATATATATATATATATATATATATGTATGTATGTATGTATATATGTATATATATATATATATATATATATATATATATATATATAGAGGGCTAGTTTGACAAATACATTATTTAGGCTAGTTTTGATACGTGATATACATAGCTGAGGGAAGAAGGGAGAAAACAGCGTTTTGATATTTCTTCTACATAGTACGCAATTGAAAACATTCATTTCACCCTCGTATATGCGTGATATTAAATACCCTACATGGGGTCAGGGTCGGTCCAACTTGGGTTATAAGACAAAATTGAAATTCTATGTCCCCCCCCTCCCTCTCCCACCGATTTGGACCACCAGAGAACCCTAAAGCAGAATGGCCAGTCCGAACAGCCTCGCTAAACTACACAATAGCCCCACCAGCAATTATTATACCTTTTCTAAAAAAAATTATAGAAAAAAACCACTTGTGAATCGCCAATGACAACTGGAACAAATATGAAAATTATGTATAAATCCTGTAGCCCAGTAATTATCTTTAAAGTGCAATATTCAAGTACATATTTCTAATTACTTATTAGAGGAATAAAGCGTACATTGGGATATTACCCAATAGTTCTCTTGAGTAGCGAACTGTATGTAGCGTTATTCCCTCAATGCAATACTTAATATTTTGCCTTTTTAGGGGAGGCTAGTAAAAAGCCTAAAGGAGTAGAATGAATAATCCCACAAGACTATATTCTATAAATACTTCATGTGATAGCTCACACCTCATATGTACAATCATACATTATCCAATAGTTTCTCAAAAAAATACACAATTCTCGACTATTTTTAAAATCAGCAGGCGGCATTGGCAATGAATGGATGTATGTTTCAACTTCCATGTACATTTATATCCAAATATAATATATAGACCTGTCAACTAGAGAACACATTGTACGCGTCAGTGACTCTCTTTTGTAACAAAGTTCATCCTTGGCCGCATCATGTCATCGATTGCTCCCAGTGCAGAGGTAAGCTAGGTAGTGAAGACACTCTAGCCCACATTAAATAATATTGTAGATGTTGTCAACTGAATCTATACTAGTTTTTTGAACGTTTGCTAATATCCCCGACAGCGTCGAAATACTCGACGATCCATGATTGCTTTTTCAAATTGAGTTAAGCATCATATCAAGACAAAATTGTAAATGCAACCACTTATAA